GAGTTAGGGAGAGAGTTTACAGAGTCATAACGCCTCGAGTCCGGATTCCGGGTTCCCCAAAAGTGCCTGTGCGAGGGGCTACGATCCCTGCAAGCTACTTCTATTCCCAAAGCACTGTAGGGAACAGCAAGGAGATCGTGGTCTATAGAAACTGGGTTAGGATCCATCAATATCTTCCCCCCCCCCCCTCATTCTGTCCGAGTCTAGACAAAAGTTGGACTTCAACCGGCTGGGAAATCCAGAGCTGGCCAGGTTAGCTGGAGGTTACGCGAACGGCAGCCTAGGAGATCTGGAGGGCTTTTATGGGGACAGGGATGGTCCAAAAACTCTTTTCGGCATTTTCAGCTTAGACGAAGGACTCGGAGGGTCTTTTTGTTTGGAGTCAATAAGAAAAGGGGGTGAATTTCTTTGGATAGAGGTGTGGATGGTCACGATACCGGAAGTTGGTTTGTATTTTTTTAAAAAGATTTTTATCTTGCCCATACAACTCAAGGTGAGGAACGTACCTAAACAGTCTTCCTCCTCCTGTTTTCCTCATAACAACCTTGTGAGGTGGGTTGGGCTGAGAGAGAGGAGGGGACTGGCCCAAAGTAACCCAGCCAGTTTTTCATGCTTCTCCTGGTTTCTAGGCCATCATTGGTTTAAAACTGGCTCAGGTTTTTTTTTCCCCTGCTTTAATGACAAAAAAAGCATTCGCCAGAGTTTCTCAACCTTGGCAGCTTGAAGATGTGTGGACTTCAAATCCCAGACATGGGGATTTAGGGGAGTTGAAGTCCACACAGGCAAGAATTTCTGGGAGTTGAAGTCCACACATCTTACCAAGGTTGAGAGCCATTGGCATAAGCATAAGCAGCAAAGGTGAAGTGCAGAAGTTCCAAAGGGAGACTGAGGCTTTGAATTCTCAAAAAAAAGGCATAAATGGTCTGACTTTGTTCTTTTCTCAAATATTTTTTCTATTGCTTCAGCTTGGAAAAGAAGCAGATTGCTACCTCAACAGGCTGCTCAAGAAAGAATGTTTAGGCAAAATTAATACTTAATGTGCATGTTTATTTAGATGCTATTCAAAATTTTTGTCCCCTTTCAGTTATTTTTCCTCTCCTTCAATTAACATAACTGGAAGACAGCAAAGATTGCACTTCATACATTATTCTCTTTCTTCTTGTGCATCTGTTAGAAGATTGTGGTTGGTGTAAAGGTGAACATCCTGAATAGGAAATAGGACTTCAGGCTTCAACTTTTGAAAGAAAAAAAGCTGCTTGGTATAGGATGAGAAACGGTTGAATAGCATAAGAACCTCTGGGCACTTTCAGGACAGGGATTTGCTTCCTGCTTCAGTCTTGTAAGAACAAATCTGCACAATGTTGTGGGTGCCCAAAAAACTTAGAACCCTTAATTCCATTCAAGAAAGTGAGGAATTGAAACCTGATAACTTTTTCTCCTATATCACATCCCTCTGTGGTCCTGCTTCTATAGAAAATTTTAGTTTTCTACAATGCCCCATTATACCAAGAGTTTCCTGAATCAACTCATCTACCATAGCCAGGAACAAATAAACCCTGGAGATTTCCTACATCTATGTTTAATACTATCTGCTAGTGCAGGAAATCTAATGGCATTGACAAGAATTGAGATGTTTCTAAAAACTGTTGATTTGTTTCCATTGTTTGGAAATAAAAGCATTAACTTCTGCCTTACCTTAATTAAACCATCCTGAATTACTACACATTGCAGCACGAGAAGGGACTCTCGGATTAACCCAACAATTCCATATGCAGAGCTTTCTACAATATTTTCCTGGGCTTTTCAATGAATTACCTGAAGTTGTTTTTTATGCAGATACTTTTTAAAAGTTGTTTAATGGTCCAGGTGATGGGTTTACAGGTAGACCTCAACTTAAGACCAGTTGTTTTAACAATTGTTTGAAATTATGACGACTTTAGAAAGGATGCCTTACAGCAGTGTTTCTCAACCTTGACAATTTTAAGGCATGTGGACTTCAACTCCCAGAATTCCACAGCCAGCAATGCTGGCTGTGGAATTCTGGGAGTTGAAGTCCACATGCCTTAAAATTGTCAAGGTTGAGAAACACTGCCTTACAGCCTGTAAAGCATCACTGGCCATCATAAAATCCTCCCCCCCAGGTCACATGGCAACATTTCCAGTGCTTGGCAACTGGTTCACATTTAAAATTGGCTGCAATGTCCTGAAGTCATGTGACTGTGATTTGCAACAGTTTCTGGCAAAAAAAATCCCATTTGTGAGAATGGATTTACTTAACAACCACTACAAAATCAGTAAAAAAATAAGCTTCGGTCCCACAGATGTGTCGACTTATGACAGGAATGACTTACAACCGAAATTCTGTTCCCAATCACGATAATAGGTCGAGGGCTACCTGTACACTGGGAAGAGGGGGCTGTCCTTATTGGGGATTTGAACTCAACAGCTTGAGAACCCCTTCAGCTCTAATTCTCTTCTTACTGCTCTCTAGAAGTACATTGGGTAGATGGAGAGCCATGGTGAAGCATGGCCAGAGGGCCAACATTCCCAGGAGGCTCCAGGAGGTGTTCGAACGGCCCCTGGAACTCAGGAAGAATGTGTCGTTCTCTACTCGGATACTGAGGACGACCCCTCACTCTTGACGGTCAATGGAGCAGGCCCCCGAGCCCCCTTCCATTGCTCTGAATGTGACAAGAGCTTCCGCTACCGTTCGGACCTGCGCCGCCATTTTGCCCGACACACCGAACTGAAGCCTTTCCAGTGCCCTCACTGTGTCAAGAGCTTCAAGCATTCTTTCAACTTGGTGAACCACATCCGGAGCCACACCGGGGAGCGCCCCTACCGCTGCACCATGTGCCCCAAAGGCTTCCGGGACTCCACGGGACTTCTTCACCACCAGGTGGTCCACACTGGAGAGAAGCCATACTGCTGTCATATCTGTGAGCTCCGTTTCTCCTCCCGCAGCAGTTTGGGCCGCCACCTCAAGCGCCAGCACCGGGCGTCTCCTGCCACCACAGCCCCTCAAGCGCCTACCCCGCGCTGCCTGGCCTGCGGCAAAGAGCAGAGTCCCTTGGGACACCTTTGTGCTGCCGGCCGAGGTCGGGCCGCCCCTTTCGGTTGTGGGGCCTGCGGGCGGCACTTCCAGTTAGCCTCTGAACTTCGCCGCCATTGGCTGGCTCATACTGACATCAAACCCTTTAAATGTCCGGACTGTGAGAGAGACTTCAATGCTGCATCCCTCTTGGAACGCCATAAACTCACTCATGCCAAGGACAGGCCCCTACCGTGCCAGCTTTGCTCCAAGAAAGCTCAGAAAAGGGATGGGAGGATGCTGGAACTGAAGGGCGTGGAGGAGCAGCCGAAAGGAGGTGAGCAGCAGCAGGAGGAGACTCAGCAGCACAGCAGAGGCTGTCCATCCTGCCCCTCTCCTGAAACTCGCCCCCCAGACACGCTGTACCAGTGTGAGTGTGGAACATTTTTTGCCAACAGCAACACCCTCGCAGCTCATCTGACTGCCCACGGAGGCGAGCCCTCTTTCACCTGTGGCATATGTGGCCAGCCCTTCGTGAACTTGCAGGCCCTGGAGGAGCACCAGCTGAGCCACGCTGTGTCCACAGCACCACTACCAGGCCCGGGTAGCGAGCTAGAATGCCACCTGTTGCCCCAGCTGGATCTCCGGACATTCCCGACTCAGCCTGGCAAGAAACTCTACAAGTGTAGCGAATGTGAGAAATTCTTCCGCAGTCCCCGAGATCTGGACCGCCACGTCTTGGTACACACCGGTGAGAAACCCTACCAGTGCACTGAATGTGGCAAGTTCTTCCGGCATGAGTGTTACCTGAAAAGGCATCGTCTGTTGCACAGCGGTGAGCGTCCTTTCAAGTGCACTGTCTGCCACAAGGGGTTCATCACCCTGAGCAACCTCTCCCGCCATCTCAAGTTGCACCGAGGGATTGACTAGGAGGGCTACCCTGATCTCCTAAGAATAACCCTCCTTCCCCAGCACTGCATTCTTCTACCTCCATCCCACAGTGGCAGCCACAGATGTTCCCGTTTTGGAGGTAGACTTCTGCCTACTGTTCCCGAACTCTGCCTGCCCTCGCCCTCCTTCCTGGTTCAGTACTTTAAGGCAAGGACTTTAAAGGATTAAAAAAAATATATTATTATTTACCAATGTTCCACTACTGTTAATAGAATACATTGCACATGCTTGGCAAATTATAAGGTTTCGGTATGTCGGGTAGAGAGGAATATCTCCCTGTCTATTGACCTGATCGGTTCCAGAAAGTTCTTGATTTCAGAACAGGAATATTCAGAGCCATGCAAAGAAGTTATGACAGGAAAAACCCCTTGGCTAAGTGTCTAACGTCTGAAGGTGCTTTTATGTGGGTGAGCTTAACAATGCTGAAATTACTTTGGCCAATAATCCTGGAGAGCTTCGGGGCAGAGCCATTTTCTCTCTCTCCAGAGAATGAGGACACTTTGCTGGATATTTAAAGAGGCAGAGTACTACTTCACTCTTCAGTATTTCCCAATCACTTTAGTACTGGGGTCTTGTACTAAAAGGCAGCACAACTGGCCAAAAAGATAAATGTGCACAAATCTAACTTGCATCGTTCTTTAGTTTGTATAGTTTTCTTTCTTTTTCCTTTTGCCATTCTGTTCTTGAATTGATAGGGCTACAGTTAGATGTACTTCCTGTCCCTCAAGGTAGAGAAACCTTATGCCCCTCATAATAACCATTATCCCCAAGGTTAAATAAGGGTAACATGTTTATGACATAACTGTACACATTGTAATTTATTGGGAATCTCCAAAAAGGCTCAACTTGATTTAGAGAAGCCCACTAATAGAAGATTTGAGAACTTTTACTTCATGGTATATATGCTACAAATTAAGTATTAAAAAATAATTCACACCATTGATTAAAAAAAATCACAAAACTTAACAGCCTCTCTCTTCCACCCTCCCCTCCAAATGTTAGCCTTTTATATTTATTTTATTTATCTCCTTTTTCCTACAGGTCCCAGCAGCATTTCTAGCACACACTGTCCAAATTTTCTTCCCAACAATAGTTTTATGAGGGAATTTGGGGCTGCCTGAGGAGGGTGAATTCTGTTTCCTATTTTTAATCTTGCAATATGACATGTTTTCTCCAATTTATCAGCCAGAAGAATGTTCATTTGGGTCACCTCTGCTATTCCTTTCTGAAAACTGTGTAAAGGCCAAACAGATGCCTTTGCTTTGGTGTGAAGTTTCAGGGCAGAGAAACTTAGTATTTAATAGAAGACAATGTTTAACAAAATAATTTAAAGAGTATTTGTCATTTTAATGGTAATATTGAGGAGCTGGTATATTTCTCCTTCATGGTTGGCTATTGGAAGGGTGAAATTTTGAGTTGGCCTAGGCTTATATATAATTTCCAAATGATATTTAAAACTGCTAAATTTTTTAGGTGCCTAGTAGCACCTCATAAAGATTAAGATCTCCTGGGAGCAAGGAAAGCTCACATTTACTTCTTAATATTTAAATAGGCAACAGAGAACAAACTAAAAAGCAAGGCATATTATCTAAACCAGGGATGTATAGCCTGGGTAACTTTAAGATGTTTGGACTTCAATTCCGAGAATTCCCCAGCTAGCATGGCTGGTTGGGAATTCTGGGAGTTGAAGTCCACATGTCTTAAAGTTGCCAAGGTTGGACACCCCTGCTCTAAACAAGAAATTAGAACATAGTGAAGAGTTGTATATTCTTGTACCCTACATGAAAACCTAACACTGGGTTGGCTTTGCTCTATACTCTTTTGCCTGTCTGCTGCCATTCATAAGACTTCCTGGCTGGGCAAACTCATTTCTCCATTCCCAACAAATTCTAGATTCTGATGGGGTAGCCCTTACCCATCCCAATATGGAGTTGTTTGCTGACCAACAACTGAGTCTTCTGGGTTTCCCCCCCTCTTTTTAAAGTCCTTGTTAGGTCCTTGAACATCTAATAAACTTATGTACCTGACCAAATTCCAGTTCCTTATCTTCTGTGGAATATAAGCCTTGTACCTGGGCATTTCTGTATTATGTTTTATTGAAAGAATAATTGCACATGTGGGTATTTGCTTATGTTTTGGAAACAAAGCCTGTCCAGTTTGTCTGGCCAAGGGGCCTCTGCTTGAAGGCTTATCTACTTCAACCTTGGTTTCAAGATAATTAACCATGCGTGTGCGCACGAGAGAGGAAAAAATATATCCATCAGTAGTACCTGGGCAGTGAAAGAAGCCAGCACCTAGGTTAGCTGGTTGAAATATTTTCCAATATGGCAGGCAGTATTGTATTTCTGCTAATTTACCATTATATTAAACCTGTATCATATACCTATGGATTAACATTTGCAGTTTTTATGTAACTATCTTTTTTTTCTCTCTTGATGTTTAAATGTCATTCTGGGCATAAGGCTCAAGTGACAGCATGTTTATACACAGCAATGAACTCACCTTGTGTTTGAATGATCTGCGAGATTACCCTAAACTCTAGCTATGGTCTAGAATACACCCTTGAACAGAGAGAGTGAGTGGCCCAAGGTCACCTAGCAGGCTTTGTGCCTAAGGCAGGACTAGAAAACATAATCACTTGTTTTCTAGCCTAATGCCTTAATCGCTACACCAAACTGGCTCTCCCAGTCCCGACATACAGGGTGAGAAAATAGAGCTAAAACCATAACAGAAAAACATTTCAGAAACAATGCCAGTAAAAACAGGTTGGAGCACCAGTTCGGTGTAGTGGTAAAGGCACCAAGTTTGAAACCAGGAGACTGTGAATTGTAGTCCCACCTCAGGCACAATGTCATGGTTCTGATAGATGAGACCAGTTAAAAGAACTTCAAGGCAAGAAAGTTTCCTTAAAGAACATTTATTTGGCTACATAGTATTGGCACGAACAAAGGTGAACCCAAGACAAATCCCCTCCTCTCAGGTTATAATGTTGCAAAATTGAACTTCCCACCCCAGCAAGATGTCATAAATCACATTCTCCAATTAATAAGTTGATCGGGCTTTCTAACAGAAACCCCAGCCCGCCAAAATGCAATCAGCAATGACCTTGGTTCTCACAGAACAATGTATTGTTTTGACTAAGTTAAAAACACCCTCCTCCCAATTATGTGGCAACCGAAAACCAAGGGAAAATGGCTTCAGCCAAATTCGTTTGCAGTGTTGACACACAAAAGCAAGCAGGGCAACCTTGGGCCAAGTCACATGCTCATAGCCCGAATGAGAAGGAGGCAAGGGCAAGCCACTTCCAAAAATCTTGCCAAGAGTATGGTTGGGACTAGCGTAGTTCAGGCAGTTGCCAGGAATCGGCAATGATGTGGAGACACCTAACAATCCAGTTTGTCAGAGCGGCAGAGATTACTAACTCTAAGTCTGGACCAGTATTTCTCAACCCTGACAACCTTAAGAAATATGAATTTAATGCGGACTGGGGAATTCTGGGAGTTGGAGTCCACATGTCTTAAAGGTTGAGAAACACTGGCCTGGACTCTTCTCTCTTATAAGGCTCCCATGATAATATGAAGCTACTGGATATGTTGCGACAAGGAAGAAGTAATAGAAGAGCCCCCTTTGGACAGATGCATATATCAACAGCTGCCTTTTTTTGCTGGCTCAGGAATTCTGGGAGTTGAAGTCCATTGGTTGTAGAGTTGCTATAGTTTGCCACCCCTGGTCTGGAGGAGCAATACCTTCATCTCATTTATTACACAGCTTTTGCATATAAAAGGGAGGGGAACAAGCCAAAGATTCACCAAATTCATTCAAGGTAGTCCTCAACACACAACCATTCATTTAGTGATCATTTGAAGTACCACAGCACTGGAAAAAGTGACTTGTGACAGTTTTTCACACTTACAACTGTTGCAGCATCCCCATGGTTGCGTGATTACAAAATCAGGTGCTTGGCCACTGGTTGCAGTATCCTGGGATCATGTGATCACCTTTTGTGACCTTCGGACAATCTGAGTCAATGAGGAAGCCAGATTGATTTAGCAACCATGTTACTGACATAATAACTGCAGTGATTCACTTAACTATGGCAGGAAAGGTTGTAAAATAGGGAGAACTCACTTTGCAAACATCTTGCTTAGCAACAGAAATTTTGGGCTCAATTGTGGTCGTAAGTCCAGTCTCGTGTAATGTGTAGCTATGCACAGGCATAAATTGAATGTTTATCAATTAAAAGCAAATTAGCAACTGTTCAAAGTTACAATGGCTCTAAAAAACAGCTCACAACTGGTCCTCGCACTTAAAATCAACACAGCATCCCCCTGGACACGTGATCAAAATTCAGGCACTTATTAACTGGTGTGTATTTACAACAATTGCAGTGTCCCAGAGTCATGTGATCACCATTTGTAACTTTCCCAGCTGGCTTCCAACAAGCAAAATCAACGGGGGAAGCTGGATTCACTTAATGATGGCATGAGTAACCACTGCTGTGATTTGCTTAACAACCGTGGCAAAAAAAGGTCACAAAATTGGGTGCAACTCACTTAAGAACCATCTTGCTTAGCAACAAAAATTCTGGTCCCAGAATGGTGCTCATAAGTCGAGGGCTACCTGTATCAGAATTCCCAGCCTGAAAGTGCATTGGTGGGAATTTTAATTCCAACACACCACCAGGCTGGCGAAAGATTTACTAAACATCCCCAATTGGTAGTAGCTGAAGTCTGAAGCATTTAATTCATAGCATTACATCAACAATTTTGGAGGAAATGTCTCTTTGGAACATTTTCACTGGAAAATAGCAGCTTTCAGATCTGCTGCAGTGTTTATGATTTGTAAAAGTTGCTTTCTTGCTGGTGCAGTCTCTTAAGGGGAGGAATTTGCCATCTCTGGTTTGACATTGACAACATCAAAAATTGAATGCAGCGCTATCTATGCCTAACAAATGTGTTGTTCCATTCCTCTGTTTCTTCTCTTTTTTGACTGGAATTGACAGTGAACAAAAGTAAAGAAATAATGCAAAGTCTACTAAAAGGCCATTGAAGGGGCAATGAAA